TGAGTATGGACTAATGGATATTTATTTTATACTTTGGGTTATAATCTAATACTACCTAACTTATTTAGTTGCTCAAATTATCCTATCTCGGGCCCTTGGGAGCTCTTCAGGCTCCTCGTGTGTCTCTTTAGCACATCCTCTAATTGTGGGTTTTTTCTTTCCAACACTTCTTTTACTTTGTCACTGCAAGATGCTCCAGGCTCATCTGGTAGATTTGCTGCCCCAGTCCTAGCATCTGCCATTTCTCCAAAGAGTCCTGGTTCATTTTACTGCAGACTAGATACTAAGATCTGGGCACTCGGTGTGGTTGTTGCTACTGGGGTATCATTGCTTCTGGGTTCTCCCAGCTAACAAGCCAAGGAAATATATGTGTATATCTATATTTCTGCATGTACCCAGCACCGTATTAAGCTCAAGACAAGTTACACTGATGACTCCAACTCTAATCCATTACCACATGGATCATTCTAGCCTCTTCCTCTTGTCTCCAACCTCTCACTCCCCACAGTCAGAAACTTGGCTTTCACCAAATACCATCTCTTTACTTAACCATTCACTTCTAGTGCATAGGTGTAGGGGAAACAGTCTGTCAACTAGGCTACAATGCTTACGTACAGTTCCCTTTGCCTTTATTTTTACAGACTCTATTTCCAAAGTTACTCAAATCAGCACTTTTTCCTCCATCTTTTTCAATGAGATCACTCCACACATTTGCAATAGAATTAGATTTTTAAAAATACCAGTCTCCTGGGATCCCATGATATCCTAATTGTCCTTTTAAAAATTTACCTATGCTCAGGTTCAATCTTTGTGCCATAAAGTTAGGTTTTGACAAATACCTAGTATTATGTAACCATTATAGTATCACACAGAAGAGTTCCATTGCTCCTAAAAGTTTCCTGGGCTTCACCTACTCACTTCGCTGACCTTGAACTTATGGCAACCATTAATCTGCCTTATAATCTTTATAGTTTTGCTTTTACTATAAGGTGATATAAATAGAATCATATAGTGTGTAGCCTTCTCAGACTGGCTTCTTGCACTTGGCACTATGCCTTTAAGGTTCATCCATGTCTTTATGTGGCCTACCAGCCAATTTTTCTTCTTCTTTCTTTTCCTTCCTTCCTTCCTTCCTTCCTTCCTTCCTTCCTTCCTTCCTTCCTTCCTTCCTTCCTTCCTTTCTCTCTCTCTCTCTCTCTTTCTTTTGCTGGCTAGTATTCTAATTGCTGCCTTTGTCTATTGAAGGATATTTTGGTTGCTTACAATGTTTGGTGATTATGAATAAGGTTGCTATGAACATTCATGTGCAGGTTTTGGTGTGAATACATGTTTTCAAATCTGTTGGATAAATACCTAGAAGTGCAAACGGTGGGTTGCGGGTAAGACTCTTTAGCTTTGTAAGAAACTGTCTTCCAAAGTGGCCGGACCATACTACTTTTACAGCAGCAATGAATGACAGTCCCCGTGGTCTGAAAGCCCTGTCAGTATCTTGCCATTGTCAGCTTTTCTTAAATTTAAATTTTAGCCACACTAACGGGTGTGCAGTGGTATCACATTATTTTAGCGTGCATTTCCCTACCAATAAATGATGCTGAGCATCTTTTCATGTGCTTATTTGGTATCTGTAAGTCTTTGGTATAGTATCCATTCTGATCTTTTGCCATTTAAAAAATTTTTTTTATTGTTGAGAGTTCTTCGTACATTTTAGACACAAGTTATTTACCAAACGTGTGTCTCTGGCTTGTCTTTTCATTCTTTTAACTGTGCAGAACAGTTAATTATTAAGTCCAATGTACACTGTTTTTCTGTCATGGAGGTTTTGGTAGTGTACCTAAAACATCATCACCAAACCCAAGACCACATATATTTTCTCTTATGTTTTCTCAGTTTCATAATTTGCGTTTTACTGGTAGGTTTTTGGACAGTCTTGAGTTAGTTTTTGTGAAAGGTGAACCACTGTTCTTTGTTCTTGTGAGGTTCTTCTAAAAAGAATGCTTCAGGGAGGCATATTTGCTGGTGTTTTAAGCATAAAAAACAGTAACAGTCAACAGCAACTTACAGCTTTTGAAGTTAATATTCACAGGCATCAGTAATAATCTGCCAAGGCCAGACTATGTCTATGGTTTAGTATGCTCTGCTAGGAGGGGACAGTGTGGGGGGACAACTTGATTTAATAATGGTGCTGGTAAGCTGGAATTCATCTACAGTTGTAGCGGTTTTCATGCTCTGTCTGTTTCCCTATCTTTTTCATCCTGGACACTGAACGGCTTGTGGGCAGGCAGTGTATATTTTTATCATGTAAGCCCAGCACCTAGCATTTAGTGTTACATAAATATTTAATTAGTGAGTTCAGTGAAGAAACTGAGCTTGTGTAATATAGAAAGTAAGAATTTCCCAGACAGTATATCCCTTTGAATAGCCACCACACCCTTTGGGAAGAGGAGGCATGATTAATTATCATCAGATATTTGAAGGGCTATCATGCAGAAGAGGGATTAGAACCAAGGTAGAATTCATAGAGGTACAGAATTTCAACTCATTAAACGTGAGAGGAGGCTGCAATCACTGAAAAAATTAAGAGAGACTGAATGAATTTTTGTGAGGGATATTGGGGGAAGGGCTTTCGGCACCTAGAAGGAAAATGAATAAACCTCTTTCTGTATCTTTCAACTCTGAAGTTCTGCAAAGTCTAACAGATCTAGGGCAGGGTCAGGTTAAGAACTTCAGAAGCCCTAAGAACGAAAATAATTATTGTTTCCCGTTCCATTTATGATTCAAAATAAAAACAAAACTGTATTATAAAATATGTGCTAGGAATGCCAATGAATTTCATGTGTTCCTATGATTCCTTGTCTTTTTCTAAGATAGGAAATATAAACTATTGCCCTTAATTTTCCCAGCCTCTCTTTCGTGCTGTCACTTTGCAAGACCCTACATGTGATTATTTCTGCTTATTGCCCAGTGCTGATTTTCTGATTCTATGTACAAGACACGGAGTATGTCAAGACTTCTTTGGGAATCATTTGTAAGATTAAAACAGGCTTGTTACAAAGAAACCCCATGCAAAGGCAGGAAACTCCATGGCCTTTTCATTTAAAGTATCTGTTTATACTCTTTTAAAAATTTTTAAAAATGTTTATTTATATTTGAGAGAAAGAGAGAATGAGAGTGAGAGAGCGAGTATGCAAGCAGGGGAGGGGGAGAGAGAGAGAGGGAGACTTAGAGCCAAAGCAGGCTCCAGGTCTGAGTCACCCAGGGGCCCCACCATTTATACTCTTAACTACAGAGAACAAACTGATGGCTACCAGAGGGGAGGTGGGTGGGAGGATGGGGCACATAGGGGAATGGGGATTAAAGAGTACACTTATCACAATGAAAAAAAAATATAAAATGATACAAAAATCCATTTATAATAATTATAGCAGCAATAAATCTGGGGACTATCTAGTCCACAGTATAAAATGTGGTTCTGCATTTTAAAGATAAGAGCTATCTACTACTGGTATACAAAGCTTGCAAGGATTCAAACCACTAACATTCATAATGACAATCTAGATGTGGTGCTGCCCAAGCACAATCTTTTTTTTAAAAATTTTTATTTTTTTTTCAACGTTTATTTATTTTTGGGACAGAGAGAGACAGAGCATGAACGGGGGAGGGGCAGAGAGAGAGGGAGACACAGAATCGGAAACAACCCCAAGCACAATCTTAAGCAAAGATGACTTCTATTCCGTTTCCATTTAGTTTTAATTTGTAAACTTTATTTCCGTTGTGTTCAAATTCTTTGAAAAGTGATACATATGCCAATATATATATCAAACAGAACATATTAGGCCTTGATCATATACGTGATAGTAGGATGAAGGCAAAAACTAATTTGTCAGGATTATCAACTTAAAAATGCTGCACTAACTTGATTATATTTATCATGTGAATTTTTTTTTTAATGTAGGCATCACACCCAGCATGGAGCCCAAAATGAGGTTTGAACTCACAATCCTGAGATCAAGACCCTGAGATGAGGTCAAGAATCAGACTCTTTACTGACTGAGTCACCAGGCACCCCTATCATGTGAATTTTCTAATTGTAGCTCATGGTATCTTAATCTTTGAACAGATTTATAGGTTACAAATTATTTCCCAAGAATTTTGTGAAAAACCAAATGTTAAAATAAGTGAAAACTGATTTATAATACTTTTGTGTTTAGAAAACTAGTTCTTTAACTGGTCCATCATTATTGTTACTTTGATTCCTATAAGAAACCTATTACAGTTTTTACATAAAGGGAAGAGAGAGTGAGCATTTTTCTACAAAAAGAATGAGGCACTTTCTATCCCATCTTAGAGTATGTAACTACCCTCTGCAACTGACATGTTCTCACAATGACTTGACCTCCAAAAGAGTTCCCAAGTTAAAATGGACAATATACACTGAAATAACCATGTCAAGCCTTGCCATGAAGGCTAGCACTTGCTTAAGGAAAATAAACTGCTCCCTTAGGAATTGGCACTTACTGTTTTGAAGATTTGAAATAAACCTGTGGGAAACCAAAATTATTTAAAAAAATTATATATGTGTGTGTATATATGTATACACACATGTAATACATGTAACACACATATACACAGTTTTCTGAGAGAGACAGAGACAGTGTGAGTTGGGGAGGGGCAGAGAGAGGGAGACAGAATCCCAAGCAGGCTCTCTACTGTCAGCATGGAGCCCGACCTGGGGCCTGAACCCACGAGACCATGAGGTCATAATCTGAGCCATGAAACCATGAGGTCATGACCTGATCCGAAACCAAGAGTCTGATGCTTAACTGACTGAGCCATCCAGGTGCCATATACATATATATATATATATATATATATATGCACACATATATATATACATATGTGTGTATATATACACACACATATATATATATACATATATATACATATATGTATGTATATATATATATATTTATTTTTTTAAAAACAAATGGAAAAATACTTACTGGAACATCAACATATTTTGCAGCTGCTTTCACCTTAAGTGGAAAAGAGATAATTATAAGAATTATTTTCTGAACTGTTAGATAAGTACTGTGACAACAGTCAAAAGACAGAAGAGAACTCAAATACTTACAGTGAATGACAGGATGGATGAAAAGAAAGTGCCTTCATCATATCTTGACAGCTTAGACAACACCCCTTCCAACACTGAAACAAACTGTAATTGTTTACAGTGAGTATCTAGAATATTTCAAAATAATAACAGGGCAAACAATCCCAAGACCAACTTCTCCCACGGCACAAAAATGCACATCGAAGCGGTGGTGTTGACTTGTTACATTTACTCTTTCATTTTGAAGATGGGCTCAAAGGTCCTTTTCCATTGCTGGAAATAATACACAAGGTTTGTTTTTGTTTTTTAACAACAAAGAATAACATGTAATAGCAGTCTGGTCACTATACATGTGAGATAACTTAAACCATTAATAAATAACTTGAAATTCCTTAGACTGTTCCTTAAAACAACTTTCAACTTCAATATAGATGTGTAGAAGCAATGACGGTGAAGTTTAATCAAATTCTTTTCTATTGTAAATCACTTGACCATTCCCCAACTTTTTCTATCTATAGAAGAGGATGAATAAAGACCAGATAACGAAAGACATTTGTAACCTCTGAGGCTCTTGTAACACTGCAATCAAGTCTGATATCAGTTAACAGGCATTAACCAAGCAGTTCTAATTGGGACATACAAGGATCAAACCTGCTTTCAGAAGCTTACAAAGCCGTTGGAGAGCTAGAACAGATAAACACACTGCAGGCAGCAAGGTAAAGAGTACTAGACTGAGCTTATATAGCCTGATTCCTATACTGACTACTCTGTGGGCTCAGGCCAACTACTGCATCAATCAGTTCCCCCATCAGTTAAAGTGTGTGTGTGTGTGTGTGTGTGTGTGTATGTGTGAAATTAAATTTGCCTGACAAGTGTTGTACATTTCTAAAATTTTATATTTCTATGAAGTGAAAAGACGTATATACCATAATATGATTAAAAATGTAGGAAATTACATTTCAGCGAGTGGCAACATTGAACTCTGGCAAGATGATAAAGAAATTAGTTAAGAATATACTGCCCTGCAACTTTCCTCTTTAGAACTAAAATAATATGCACTATTGACAAATTATAAACTCCCAAAGGGAAAATACTGACAAGGTTTTTTAAATACGAAAAGGGAAATTAACGAAGGCTGGTTTTTGTTCACATAGCAGCTTCTTCAACAAAGTGATAATAGTTCTAGGGACACAGCTTATTGGTCTCTGGTGACCAGAGAACTCACTGAGAGTGCACAGGAGATAATCTTTTCTCTATGGCTGGTCAATTACTGCAAAATAGTTTATGCAAAAGAAACAAAAACTTCCCTATAGGTTTCCCCATCACATCATGTGCGACATGATGTAAGAACACAGAAACAAAATCATGCAAACTGCTGACTAAAATTTTATTTTTAAAGAATGAAAATTATGTATGGTTCGTTAGTTATCCTAAGGGATACAGACAGCAAAAAACACAAAATTATAAATTGCTCACAACTACTAAAAGTCAATTTAGCACTTTCTTCCTGCCCATTAGGATTTCTTACCAGTCACAGTTGGCTAACTCAACTTGATGTGGTTTGCAAAGACCCAGAAGACCAATACTCCAGGGTTATGTCAAACCAGGGGAAGGGAATTCCAAACTTAATGGCCCTCTGTGGAAAATGCTTCATCTCTTCTAACTCCAATCTTGAGAGAGCCAGTGTGTGCCAGGTGATCTCATTTGCCATGAGGAGAGCAGAGCGACAATTGCTATGGTTACCGGACAACCTGAGCCAGTGAAGGCTCTAGCATGGCACCTGGTTCTTGGTACCCTCGAGTGGGTATACGTGGACACACATGGGTGGTGCTGAGGGACAAGGCAAGGTAGAGGCAAGACGCCTGTGGATGGATTTAGAAGATCTTAGTTCAAGTTGTAGCCACGCCAATCTCTGGCTACACGACAATAGTCAAGCCATGAGCTTCTCTAGCTTTAGACTCATCAGTCAGAGAGGGAAAGAAAACGGCAGCCATCATGTCCATCTTAGAAGGATCAGTGAAGATCATTTGAGATATTTTATGTGCAGGAACTGTAAAAACAGCAAAATACTAAAGAAATGCAAAGAACAAACTATCCATTATATAGGTCTAGAAATGTATAAGTCACAGGGTAATAGGCGTAGCCTTAGGATTGTTTGGGGATAAGGAGTAATAATGAGTTTGGTTACCAGTGAATGGGTCTAATTCAATTTAAAGATACCTACTGAGGCAGAACAGATTTGAAGCTGTAAATCAGACGACCTGCATTAAAACCCCATCTGCTTTAAGGTCGTTTGGCTGACAGCAGAGGAAGGAGGCTTTGAACATAGGTGGTCTGGCTCCAAAGCCCATGTTCATTACCAGTAGACAGTTGTAAGTATTAAATAAGTAATGTGCTCAGCATATAAGTATTCAATAAATGTCATTCTGTTATTATTGAGTACCTAATGTGCAAAATGCAGACAATAGGAGTCTCAGACCTTTCCTTTCAAGAACACACAAACTAGTGGAAGAGACAGGCAGAAAGTTTTAAGGTCCAGCAAAGATGGGCAAACAGTGTAACTGAAACAGGAGGGGGGAAAGCATGGCTTTTAACTGGAGGACGTTAGGTAAGCTTCATTTACAAGGTGGCACAGGAGCTGATCTCAGGAGGGCAGAAATGGAGGGTCAGATAAAATGACACTCAGGGAAGCCTACTGGTGGATGGTTTTAGGGCAAAAGGTTCCCCACTGCAGCATCTGGCAGCCTGTGTGCCTCACCATCTCTGGTGAGAACCGAGCCTGGGTTGTAACCGTGTAAATTCTACGTAAGGACCAGTTGGCTGTTGCATGCATTTCACAACATTCTTTGCCTCCATTTTAACAATAGCGGACAGTGTCTCCTTGAGTTCCTCTCTACCCCAAATAGTCCTTGGGGAGGCATAATACAGTGGGGACTTTTATGTGCTTACATGGCAGTGAACAGCATCTGCACCACCGGGATCAACCAGCCCAGCCATACAGTTCCTACAGGAAGGCTGTCTTTGTGAGATTTCTACGAGACATATGTGGTAGAAGAGCTGCCTTAGAAATCAAACTCTATTAAAATCAGGATTGACTAATAATGATATATTTTCCGTCTGGCTGTTAATTGCACAAAACAGCAAGATTCCAAAGAAATCCAGTTAAATGCTGGGTTTAGTTGCTGTGTCTTTAACCGCTTCCTGTGAACTTTCTCAGTACAGCTCAGGGAGTATATAAACACTTAGGGGTTTGCCTTGTGCTCTCTGTTCTCCTGAGGGTGTCGGGTTGGAATGAAACACTGTAATCTCTTTGTTTCCCTGCTCTTTATTGTAGATGCCATTTACTGGGTTTGTTTGAATAATATTTAACACCTAAAGTCTGTCTGGGTAATTACCAACTTTGCCTCACTAGCACACTCTCAAGGAAATTAAAGATGAAAAGCACTTTGAAATAACTAGTAGAATGAAACATGAAGTGTGCCACAAGGCATGTTGGTTTCAATTTCCTGTTGAATTTTAACAGGGTATAAGATTCATTTTCCCATGTGCACGGAAAGTAGACCACAAATTCTAAAAAGTTATTGGGAGGATTCCAGCTATAGATTGGTGGGTTCAAAACAAAGTTCTTGTTTTTTCAGCTATATTTCGTGAAATAAATAAGGGATATTCACATCATCTGCCCTGCAAATTGTAACATCTTCCACAGAGAAGAGATTCATCCAAGTAAGACTCATTGTGAAAAACTAAGTTCTTTCCTTTTCTTTTGGTGGTGGGGACGGGGGCGAGGGTTAGTGGTGCTGGAGATATCTATTAGCAGATGTTTTATGTTTATTTGGTAAGATCAGGACTAGCTAGTCTTGTTAAACATCCCCAGGGAACCAGAATACCACGGACTGGTTTCTTCCCCGAATCAGAATGTTAATGTTATGATACAATGCAATGGTCCCTCCCTCAGTCACTTTTCTCCAACTGTGAATCCATTTCTCTGAACATTTGTTCCAGTGGACTTCCAAAGGGTCTTTCCAGATTTTCCACATCTGTGTCAAGGATGGACAGTATTCGAGTGATGGCTTTGGCAGCATGTATACTAAAATCGGGATGACATAGAAAGATACAGCATGATATCCCTGAGCAAGGAGATCTAGTATTTGACGGCAAGTATTTATTTGTAACATACCTCATTCCACAAAATATCTAAGACAATTTCTAAAATGGCGCATTCAGCACACACTTCTCTCCTTTACCCTTGCCCCACAAATGGAGTGACCCATCAAATTTTGTATTTCCTCTCTCCTGATGGCTCCTAAGAAACCTTTCAGGCATATACTTGTTTTTGAACAGGTGTCTTCTGAATATATAGCCTTGATCTGAATGAGTAAATTTAATCAAATTAATCTTAGGTTGAGTTGGTGAGATACTTTAATTACAGAATCTAGGTAGTCAGGTTTGATGTATCCTCTGCTCATCTTATTATTAAGAGAAATTCAGGGAAAACATTCTAGGTTGTCAGAAAGAACAAGGGTGTGTACATATATATTTACACCGACACATTTATAGCTGTATGAACTCAGTGAGGCAGTGTATCTTCTTTCCCAAATCCCGTTTTGCAATAATTGAGGATTTAGGAAGTTGACTAGATTACTCTGCTCTTTTACTTCATACCCAGAATTTACTGAGCTCTGTTACCAGAGTGCATTATGGGAGTGGTCATTTTCTCATTCTTTGCTCTGTTAACCATTTCCCCCAAGCACTTCCTTCTCTCATCTCTCACAGGTTTTCTTCAGCATCCTCATATTACACACAATAAATTCCATTCTCATCTGCCTGCCCATGCCGGTCCCACAGCATGTATGCCTGTCAAAGGAGGGACACAGGCTGGTCAGTACAACCCAGACATAGAGGGCACACCAGAAGCCTGGGAGGTGGAGCACCCATTCTTTTCCTCTCTGCTCTTGCTGAATTCTGTGCAGGGTTGTGGGAAGGTGACGGGCCTAGGGACCATGAGGATCAAGTCCTGGCTCCACAGCTACCTACCATGGGAACCTGGGCCTCTGTTTCCTCACCTGTGAACAAGGGGACTGGACTCTGGGGCAAGCCCTGGTGAT